TATTTTTAGTAGAGACAGGGTTTCACCACATTGGCCAGGCTGGTCTCGAACTCCTGACCTCAGGTGATCCACCCACCCCAGCCTCCCAAAGTGCTCGGATTACAAGTGTGAGCAACCATGCCTGTCTCTCTCTCTCTCTTCCTCTCTCTCTTTAACTTTTTGTAGAGACCGTGTTTCACCATGTTGCCCAGGCTAGTCTCAAACTCCCAGACTCATGTCATCTGCCAACTTATGCCTTCCAAAGTGCTGCAATTCCCAGCCAGAGATTGTGTATAGAAGCCAGAAATAGCAGTTTTGCAGGTGTGTATGGAACCTGGGCTGTTTGGCCATCTCTGTAAAACATGACACCAGTCCCTGACTTGCAGGGTGTCCTGTGTCCTCCAGCAGACAGATCCACACCAAAGGGCACAGATCTTGTGACCACCCACAGTGGAAGCACAAGTGAAGGGACTCAGGGTGCAAAAGAAAGAGACCGAATCTCCTGGAAATAAACAGGAGGCTGCGGAAGAGAAGGCTGGAGTGGGTTGGTGTCACTCAGGGGTTTGTGTAACTCAGGTGGAGCTGCAAGGCTCCTGGCTGGCCAAGCAGCGTGAGCAGGAATATGGAGGCTGCATGAGGGCCCCACAGAGCCACCGTGAAAGAGCTCAGATGTCTGGGTGTGCACAGGGAATTATGGCCTTAGTCCATTATCTGTAGGAATGACGATTCTTTCCCTGGATGTGTGAAGGCTCTGGATCAGGGTGAATGACTGCCTAGACCTCTGGGAAATTTAACTTTGTTCTGTCAGGGGACGCTGTCTACCCTAGATTTTATGTCCCCCAGGAGACTAACAATGAGGATGGATGTGGTTTACTGGAGCTGTGGTCTTGGTCTTCAGAATCAGGTCAACTCTGGTGGGGAACTCAAGGCCAATCCTGAGCTGTTCTGGCATCATCCTATCCCCAGCAACCTCTCTCTCCCCTGCAACTCCCAGCTTTGCATCTCCCAACCTTGGCCTGCAAAATCCTCCCCCTTCACTGTGTCCCTGCTGCCTGAGCCCAGATACCAATTCTCAGTGGGGCTCAGAGCCCCAGCTTTTTCAGAAATGAGCTGGGACTGATGTGGTTATGAGGTCATGGTGAGGAAAAGGAGACCAAGCCCATAAGGAAAGCATCTTGCAAAATAGCTGCCAAATAGGAGAACCTCATCCCTCCCACCAGTTACATGGAACTATTTACACTCAGAAGATGTTCACTGATGTTTACTAAGCTTAGGGTGTAACAGCTCAGAACCCAGGATTGCCAATCTCTGTTTCAAAAGATAAGGAATAGCCTCAGATTCTTATGAGCTGAAGAGATTATAGGAATGCATACACAGTTAAACCCTGATAGATATATCTGTGATCTGTAGATAATTATTATTCATGACATATGCAGCCACACCCGGAAGTATTCAGTAGGTGTTCAGGTATTTTATAGAAGACAAAATGTATATTGGGCAAAAAAAGATCACATGGAAATAAACCAAAAGAAATTCGTTTTCACTATAAAAATGCTTTAATAATATTGTCTGTACAGCATGGGACGCAGACAGGGAAAACAGCAAGTGCACACGCAGAGGCACAGGCCAGAAGGCAGGCTGGGAGTGAATAAAGAGTTCACACTGCTTCCCTGCTTTCTCCGGTGACTGGAGGCTGTAGGCCACCTCCTCCTCGAACTCGCTCTCCTCCTCTGCTGTGGCATCCTGGTACTGTTGTTATTCAAACACCAGGTCATTCATGTTGCTCTTGGCCTTGGTGAACTCCATCTAGTCCAGGCCCTCGCCCATATAGCAGTGCAGGAAGGTCTTGTGCGGAAACGTGGCTGTGAACTGCCCCGAAATGCACTAGAACAGCTCCTGGATGGCCCTGCTGTT